TTATTGTCCTTTGGTACTCCATCTTTTTATAGCGAACATCCTCAGTTTTCCTGAGAAGCTATATTTAAATTAAATTTGGATTGGAGGGGGCTCTTGTTTGCAGTTACCCCGATTTTATCGTTACATTTTAATAATAGTGTGTCTTGAGTATTGAATTTCAAATTGGAGATTATTTTCTTTTGGCATTTCCAAAACATTTGTGTATGGCGTTTTTGCTTTTAGAGCAGCTATTAAAAACTTTGAATGTATTCTGATTCCTGATTAATTTTTATGTATGTGACTTCTTTGTTTTCTTCCTAGAAGTTTATAGGATATTTCCCATTGTCCTAAGGTTTTATGATGATGTCTTTAATATGGCTCTTTTTATTTTGTGTGTTGGGTATTCCAGGGCTCTTTTCAATTTGGAAGAGTTTGTTCTTCATTATGGGAATTTTTGTTTTATTCATTCCTTCATTTCCTCCCATTCATTTTTGCTCTTTTGTAGAACTCCCATTATTTGTATATTGAAGCTCATTGATTGGTCCTCTAGTTATCTTACTCCATGTTTTATTATTTTTCTTTTCACTTCGTTTTGTGAAGAATTCCTCACTTCCGTCTTATCACTGTTGTGCCAAGTTTTTTTATTTCTGCCATAGTGTTTTCAATTTCAAGCTCTTTGTTATTCTCTTAATGTTTATTTTAAAATAGTAATTGTTCTTGTTTTACGGATGCAATATATTCTCCTAAATCTTTGAGAATATTAATGATATTTCCCTTTAAATGTTCTTTTTCAAATTGTTTTCCCTACATATTGGTTTTCTGTTTTTGCATTGTTTGTTGCTTTCTAGCTTCTTCAATGATAATAATCCTTAGTTAGTTGTCCGTGATTAGTTAGAACCAGTAGTCCTAAAAATGCAATTAGAAGCTGTGAGCATGTGGATATTGTCCATTTTAAACTTCACTGTAGAATTCTCAGGATGAACATTTTATTGGTGACTAGACAGATTTTTCTATAGAATACTACTGTTCTTTACTGGGAGGAAAAAGGTCTGCCTGTCCGCATTTTGGGAGCTCATTGTTACAAGGGAGCTGGAATTCATTTTGGGGGTGAGTGTGTGATCTGATCCCATTTTCAATATTGTGCCTATACCATGATTTGTGCTGGTCCATCATATCTCCAGATGGTTAAACCTCTAGTTTTCTGCCAGGTTAATGTGAGAAATACCTAGAGACAAAATTCAAAGCACAGCTTTCACTCAGTTCTCTTTATTTTGGTCCCTCCACTCCAATCCTTACTTCCAGAAGTGCCAGTTACTGTTTTGCAGATTCTTCAGTGTAAATAGGGGTGATTGTCAGCTTTACATTTTACCATCTTGAGAGTCACCTAACTTGCATTTGTGTGTGTGTGTGTGTGTGTGTGTGTGTGTGTGTGCTCGCGCGTGCTGCTGGGGATTAAACCCAGGGCCTTGTGTATGCAAAGCAAGCACTCTACCAACTGAGCTATATCCCCAGCCCTGACCTTTCTTGCATTTATTGAGTTTCTTGTAGTCCATCTACTTCCCCTCCTTCTCCTTTTTTGGGGGGCAGGTGAGGGAATGTGCTGGAAATAGAATGCAGGACCTCTCACATGCTAGACAACTGCTCTCACATGGAGCTACATCCTCATCCCTGGTTCATCTCCTTAAATTGTGTTGCTGTTCTCTCTTCTGATCTTGTACTTGTTGATACCAGTGGAGTGTCTAGTTGGGGTCCAGGTTTTTGGCATCTTGAACATCCGGAAGAAACAGCATAGGTTTAGTGATAAGTGAAAGTAACACTACATAAAGTAGGGCAGCATGGGTCCAGAGTGTGGCTCAAGACTGACTGATGTCTGGGTAAGTCTTGTCTGACAGGCTGGCCTGTGCCTCAGTCTCCTCTCTGCAGGGACCTGATCAAAGTCCCATTTGTTTCCATGGGTTACTTTATTTTTGCCTAATTAGAATACCAAACCTGTGGCAGGAGTTGTGTTGGAAGTTGTCTTGGTAATGGAACTTACCCCAAACAGGGACTCATCTCCCTGCTTTATACTCCAGCTGGCATTTTCTTGTACCCTGCTTCTGCCACCTTGATGTCCAAAACTTATACCTCATTGTGAGTTATACCTTTGAAACAGGTTGCTTTTCTTTAGTTTTTCTGTTTACTGAAGTTGAGCAAGCCTACTTATTTATGTTCAAACTGTCATTTCAAGATGACTCTTTTTCCTTGCTGTATATTTCTTTAGCAGATGTATGCATTAAAAATTGAAATTGTCTTTTTAAAAAGTTTTCTTTCTTGAGTTGCCATGTTGACAGATGTTATATAGAATATCTGTTATTAAGACATGGTAATCTACACTTGTTTTTAGTAAATTTTATGTTGTCTATTTTTTTTCCAATTTGTTGCTTCACAGTGTAAAAACACCACTGTAACGATAGCTTGAGTTATGGCCCTACTTAAGGCATACAGAGCTGAGTCTAATACTGATATCCAAAATCTAATGTTGGGTTTTCTAAAATCTTTCTCTCTTGGCCATAAATGTATTTGGTCTTACAGCAATGAATGGAAACTGTCACTAAGAAATATTTCTCTTTTTATAGACTGGTTATTCTTAGGCTTTAGCATATATCAGAATCACTGGATATCTTGAAGAAAGAGATCTCTGTACCCAATCCCCGTGGATTTCTGATTCAGTAGGTCTGGAATGAAGCTGCGATTTGGAACTTCTAACAGGTTTCCAAGTGATACTGGTGATCACACTTTAAAAATCACTGATATACACTATTAATTGCCTGAACTGCAAAAAAATAAGAACATTGCCAAGATCCTCCTGTGAAGATCTACTGAATTGTTACATTTCATACTGATCTTTGAGAGAAACTTTGGGTTTATTCTGTTATTTCTCTCATTGCCTAAACTATATGAATGTTTACAGGAATGGCCTTCTGAGACATGTGAGACAGTTTATCCCACCATTTTAATTATTCCTTTCCTTGGGGCTAGTATTTTTTCTTTTTGAACTACTTGTTTTTTTTTTAAATATCTTTATTTTATTTTTATGTGGTGCTGCGAATTGAACCCAGTGCCTCATGCATGCTAGGCGAGTGCACTACCACTTGCACCACATCTCCAGCCCATGAACTACTTGTTTAAAGTTTTATCTGACATCTTCCCTCCGCTCTCTTCCCTTTCTTATTAATTCTTTTGTTTTCTATAGCTTTTCTGGTGCTAGAAGAGTAACTTAGTGTCCATTAAAGGTTTGCTCTTAGAGGGAGCCCTCATGTAGAAATGTTGCATTTATACCAGTCATGTGATAACATGTTGATAGCATGTTGGGTATAGTTGACCAGACTTGGAGACTTAAAACATTGAGATTGGGCATGTTCATATGTAAACACAGATATCAAAGTCAGGACAAGTCTTTGCTAGTGAGAAATTTTGGATATGGCTATACATTTTTAAGAATTTAATTGAAAGCTTTGAATTGTTAATTTGACAGGTTAGGTCTTATAATTGTTGGTTATAAGTAGATCTCGACTGGAACAGCTCTTTCTCTTATTTAAGATGAGAAACTTGGCAAAGAAAATGGCTTAAATTAAATTAGAGAAAATGGCCTTTTATCCAGTGAAATAGTTTCATCAAAGAGAAACAGAATTTCAGTTTTACAAATATAGATTTGATTTTATAGAAATAAGTGATGGACAGGTGTTAAAATATTCCAGAAGGAGAGTTCTAAGTTACCTTTCTACTTTATTGTTCTCCTACCAGTGTGGCAGGAGAAACACTAGTACCATTTTATTGTTGATTTTTATAAGTAGCACTGATTTTGTTTATGTTGGTTAAGTTTTAGTATAAAGTGGGCTGATACTTGGCATACAAAGTCAATTCTAAAACTTTACTCATCCAGTCTTTGGGTTTTATTTAGGCACAAGCTCTACTTTATTGCTTGATCCTAGGAATATAGGAGTGAGCTAGTAGGGCATTTTTAATCTCTTGTAATCTAATAGATGTCTTTAATATCTTCTCTTGAAAATTGCTTCTTGCATGACTAATAACCCCTGTAAAGATAACAACGTTATTTTCTAGCAAAAATTCATGTATAATTAAGACTTAGAATTTTCTTTCATACTTAAATTTTTCCAAAATTGTGTGCTTCTATAAATGGGATTTGCAGACTGTTAGCTCTATGAAGACAGGGATTTTGCTTTGATCATTACTGTATTTCTGACATGAAGAACAGTGCTTGCTAACACAGTTCTTAATATTTGTGAAAAGAATGAAAAATTTTATAGCTTAGAGTGCTGCCTATATTGTAATACTTAATACCACAAGGTGGTACTATTGTACCATGAAATGAAGGCCTGTAATTCCTAGGCTCTCTTATGTATTACTAAATTCTACCACTAAATAAAATGGATGACTACTTACATGTTTATTGCCTACTTCAGTTATTTATAGTTGTAGCGTGTGATTCGTCTTTCATTACATGGTGGGGTCAGGGAGTGACATTATTTCCTAAATAAAGAATAATTGGTTTAAATTTTTATAAAATGTTAAGTGAAATAGCAATCATAAAAATGTAGCCTAGTACTGAGATTAGATTACTTTTTTACCTTTATTTTGGGCAAAAGTGTTTCTTAAATGTCTGTTTATATTGAAATAATCTGCCAAGAATTTTTAATAAATTATCACTGAAGGTTAAATAATATGCAAGTTTGCTTTTGTTTTCAAAAGATTTTAAAAATTGATACCAAACCTGGATTTGACAGTATTGTTTTCTCCACTCCAAAAAATTTTTTACTTCGCTTCCATTTTTCTTTTTGGGGTACTAAAATATGTCATTTTATTAATATATAGCTGTTTGTTATATTTTTATATATACCTATATAACTGTATTGTAAAACTAAAGTCAATTTATGAATTATCTTGGTTTCACTTCTGTTGTAGAACCAATTATTAATGATTGAATTGATTTCTGACTATTTTGGTTCTTTGATTTTCCTTAGACTGAAATCAAATCAGAAGATGGCCCAGGTTGGACAATTCTGCGTGATGATTTCATGATGGGTGCGTCTATGAAAGACTGGGACAAGGAAAGCGATGGGCCAGATAACAGCAGACCAGGATCTGCAAGTGACTCTGACACATAAAGCAGTCTATAGGAAGCAATATTTGCAGTAATTTAATTTTTTCTAGAAAAATACTTTATCCTGTGACAACTGGGGAATTATAAGGATAGCATTTGGAAGGTGGGGGGTCCCAAAGAATTTTAGCAGCTTTGGTGTTTCCTCTTTTCACATAAATTTTGTTAAAATTATATTTTCAACTCCATATAATTTAAAGCATTTTTCCTCAAAACATTTGTTAAAGAGAAATATTATTTCTATTTGACCACCATTTTTCTGGGATCATTACATATATACACATATTGATCATGTCTATTGGTATATTGTTTTAATATCACCAGTGTTTGTAGAAATGTATTATCAATTCATAATTAAAATTAATACTTTAAAGTTCATAATCCTGCCTTCTAACTCATAGATCTGTGTAGTTCAGGGGAATAATTTGTGACACCTTTTTTTTGTTGTTCAGCTGTTGGGGAAAAAAAAAAACCTATGCTGTATTTAAAATTACAGTATTTCTGACATGGGGTGTTGTTGGTATTTAGATAAGCTGGAATGTGCAATTTAAGATATACTGGATTGCCACTTTTTACCTCCTTTTGTATACTGAATAATATAAAGACATTTTTAAGTGTTAGATTACTTTTGCATGACAGTACTGAGGTGGAAATTCTTGTGTATTTTTTTAATAATTAAACATAATTTGTTAGGAAGCTTATTGGACATGTTTTAGTGTCTCCTTTCTATCTGTCTCTCTCCTTTTTCTCTCTTTGCCTTGAACAATTTAGTTAGTATAAATTCTTTCATGGACTACTTGTGAGTAGTCAGAGAAGAGTCAGAAAACAAGTAATCTGCATCAGATACTGCATCTAATTTGAGACTTGGCTCCGTATCATCTTGAAGGTAATTACATTGGATGACTTTCATATCTGGTTAAAAAGAGAAAAGTAAAACTGTTTATTAATTATCATTTCTGTGAAACTTGGCCCAAGATATAAAGTTTGTAAGAGAATTTGATAAATCTGATATATTCCTTTCTGAAAAGGATCCATCCCTTTCCTCAGTTTGCCATAGTAAAAACAGTTTCCTCCTCTCCCCACAATTATACACACTTGCATTGATTTATATATTCAAGGACAATCCTATACCAATCACAATGTGCCACAGTAGAGGTGTTTATATTTTCAAACAAGTATTATATGACTAAAGTTAAGTTAGCTCATGGCTTGGTATTTGTTATCATAAAGGAAAGTATACACTGATGGTTAAAACAGCAAAGCTCAAAATGCAGTTTTGAATTTATCTCGACTTTTAAACTTTAGTGTCTTATTAAATCATAGAGCTTCCATTTTGTTATTTTAATATAAGTAAATATGAACCAAAAATTCTTAGTAGTAATGTAGGAATGCTTAATATCCCAATATAACTTTAACACAGAATAAATATTTCAATATACTCTACAGTTAATTTTGAAAAAAAAAATAGTGCAACACTTGTAAACTTCTGTTCCCAGAACTAGAGATTATACTATATTGTCTTTTATTAAACTTGTTTTTAGGTCATACTAAATTTTTTTCAAAAATTTTTCTGAATAGCACATTCAAATGATAAAAATGGTAAATAGCTTTTTCTTTACCAATTGCTTTAAAACATACATGCTTATAATCCTTTGTTTAATTTAGAAAAATTGAACAAGGCTTTCAAATTGGAAGTAATAAGAGTATTTTCAGATTTTCTTCATTTCAATTTGAAAATAAAATTGAGGTGCTTGGGTAAGGGGGCAAGTTTCTTGTTAGAAGGCTATGAAAAAAAAATTTATATAGATGAAATGTCTTCTGTATGTTAATATTTCTGCATATTGGCTATAAATATTTAAGCAAAAATCACTGTATAAATATGAATCTAAAGATGGGCATGTTTAGAAACCAAGTGTGAACTATAGATGGGTGTTTTAAATAGTCTAGCTCTGTCACCTATACTCATATTACTTTGTATTACAACCTTTAAATTCTTCTGGCATCAGTTAGATGAAGAATTCTGTGTCTGTTAATCTTTCTACATTATCTTTGAATTCTGTAAAGAAGGGAAAGAGAAAGAACTGTAATCCCATTCTACCTCTCCTTCATTTATCTAAACATAACAATGTTAGGCTTTTATTTTGGGTAACTAGAGTAATATTGTAAAGAAATTACTTTTCTCTTTTTAGAAAGAGCTATGCAAAATAGAAGCCAATAATTTAAAGGTATTATTACCTGGTCTGAATATTTAGATGATTGGGGTTAATACTCACACTGGTTATGGTTTCTAAGCATTGAAATTTGAAAATCAAAAGTGGTACTTGTTTAGGACTGAAAATAACTTAGAATCATTGTAGGTTAGCACTTTAGGGTAAAAGTTCAGAACATGAAATTGTAGTATTTACTTTATTTTCAGGGTACCTAGAATTCTTCATGGCTCAATAATTATTTCACTGATTCCAAAATATTCCTTTAAAACTCTTAGATGGAATAGTTCAGAAGCTTACCTTCAGTACTGGGAGCCTAATATGACTCATTAAAAGGTTCTGGAAGGCTTGAGGGCAAGTCCGAGTTCTTTAAAATATTTTATCTTTTAAAACATGGGTGAAGAAAGAGGTGTATAAGTTTGGGAAACCTCTTAAGGCTTTTTAATCAATGTGTTATGCAAATATAAATATACTTTTTGTTCAGTGGCCACCATCTAAACTAATCCTGTATCTCTGCTCGACTTCAGGCTGCATGAGTACTACAGAACTTTATTATAAAGCCATTGGATTATGGTTTATAGATGACTAAAGATGTTCTATTGAAATGTAAATGCAGAGAAGGTATAAAGTTGAAGTGTGAACAGAAACATGGACAAACTGAAAGCATGAATTTTGTTACCCAAGAGTTAAAGGAATTATAAAATCTAAGAAGGTGCTTAAAATGGATTCTTCAAGAACCATGCATACTTCTGTAGAAAAGATTGTAGATCAAATAAATAAGCTGGTACTTTTGCATCCTTTGGATAATTTTTTCTTTTAATATGTATATAAACAGCAAATTGTGCATTTTTAACTTAGATGAGAATTAATTTTAGTTGCTGTTATTTCTTGCCTTAAGGGTCTTAATAGAATTTGAAAGGTCTTCGACATAGCATTGACTGAATACCCATTGTGAGAACTGCGCTAAAACTGTTCCTTTCTCAAATTCATGTATTAGGATTGGTATGACTTTATGTGTGATAGATATAGAGGCTGTCAAGACTTGAGCACGAAGACTATTTGAGGTGAATTGGCAGTAGAGAAAAATTTTGGAAATAGGAGAGAGAACTTAGTTTGTGCCTACAAAAAGCTCTCTTATTCATTCCCCAAGAAAACAGGAATCTGAATTGTAGCCAGTAGGGTAGATGAATCTTACTGACTACTGCAGCGGAGGTAGGCCTGGTAAATTTTTTTACCTGGTGAGATTTTTCTGAAATTTTATTTTAATATATCAGTCAAGGGGACCTCTATATAGATTAAGGAGAAGAATGATATTTGAGGTGAATAATAAGATATTTAGAATTGTGACTGGTGTTTTAACAAAATGCTAAGTTCTAATGAATCTAATCAGAACTATGTAGATGGAAGATATATTTTAACTACTTATAATTATAAATTTTTTAAAGAGTGTTTTCTAAGTTAGAGAGCCACTTTACTATTTTTCATCCAGTCTACTAAACATATTTTAGTAAGTTGGAATTTAGGACTTTTTATCTAGATCAGTGGTGAACCTTTTATCTTATCCTACTTTTTTAAGGAAAATTATGTCCAATATCACTTGACCCCTTCCCCTTTCTGGAGCAGGAATATATAGATTTCTGTTAATGTTCTTTTACTTTCAACTAAATAAGATAAGCAAGGATATATACTAGAAAAGTCAGCATAATTCCTTATAATTTGAGTCGCTAGGTCATTGCTGTCCAACAGGACTCTTCTGTGCTGATGGAAATATTTTGTCCATACTAATAGGTAATCACTAGCTCAGGTGGCCATTTCATTTAGTTATATGGCAGAACTAAATCTTTAATTTTACTTAATTACTTTAAATTTTAAAAGCTACATGTGTCTAATAGATCTATTACAGCTATAAAGAGAATAGTCACAGTATATATTTTAGTCTAATAAAAGCACAGTAGATTTTGGAATCATAAATTTATCTTGAACTTTTTCTGTAAAATTTTATGGATATATTTATCCAAATAAATATTGGTAAATACTGATATGATTTCATTGGTTGAATTTTTCATTTCTTTTTTGACTATTTTATAAGAGACAAATTGCTTTATAATTAAATGGTATCCTGGATAACTGTTTGTCCTTATAAGTAGGCTATTCTTGGTAACAAATAGCATCTGATCCCCCCCCCCCCCCCAGTACCAGGGATTGAACCCTTGGGCACTTAACCAGTGATCCACATCCCCAGCCCATTTTATTTTGAGACAGGGTTTCAGCAGTTGCTTAGGGGCTCTATAAGTTGTTGAAGCTGGCTTTGAACTTGCAATCCTCCTGCCTCAAGCCTCCCAAGTCACTGGGATTAGCATCTGATTTTTAACATTACTGTTTGAAGTTTTTATAATTAACACACCAAACTTAAGATCTTATTACTATACTCCAAGAGTTATATTTATGATGTATTGGAAAGGATGTATTGAGCACTGCTGGAGCAACAGATGCCAGACACCATTCTAGTTTTGAATTCCCATGATTTGTACTCATATCTGGGTGCTCACTTATTTAGCAGGTTTTCTGAGAAACTGCTTTTAATTGTAGGACCCTCTTAAGTCTCCCATTGTATTCTAGTATACTGTCCACATATTGCCAGAGCAATTGTAGGTTGCAGATTTGTGGGGTGGGGGGGGGATAGAAAACAAAGAACACAATGAGTGTTATTAGCACAGCCAGTTTCAGATGATGAGGTGTTAACCACATTTGTATAAATAACAGTTTCTCTAACCCCTGAATCATTATCCTGCATTTTAATGCACTTGGTTCATAAACATCAAAGCAAGAACACCACATTTGTATGGGGTCAGGACCAACTGGGGCCCAGAATGGAGAGACAGCTGAGAGCTGTGTGCATGTGCGTGGGTGGCCTTGCAGCTGTTGATTCACCCTCAGGCTGCTAGACAGTTGCCTCTTTGCTCCTACAGAACCAGACTTCAGTCTTAGGTAAAAATGTTTCCCCTCCCTTGGAAAGGACATAAACAATGAGTAGACATCAGTTCTGAAAACATCAAGGAGGCAGCCAGACACAGCAGTTAGTCTGAAATACTGAGCAGTACCAAGCATAACATCAGGGCTCTTTCTGACACAATAATATTTGTCTTTGTACAATAACACTGGATTCTCTTAAGTGTATTATAAATATAAAAGCCCATCATTCACAAAGTTCAGTGTGATTTTATCCTTTGCAAATGGCACCAATGTGAGGAATAACTTGATTGCATGAGTAATGACTGCCATATCTTGGTTGTCTCTAGATGCTGAGATATACTTCTTAACAATAAATGAAATTATATTTACATTTTAGGAAATGCCAGTATTTATTGTTACATGAGGGCATAATTTTGGAATAAACTAAGTTCAGAAGTCAGTTTGGACTCTTATTAGCTATGTGTTCTATCACAAATCTCTTAAATTCTGAAACTGGCATGTAAATCAGGTATCATGAATGTATGCACAGTGCCTGTGTAGCACAGTACCTGATGTGTGATAAGTCTTCAAGAAGTGTTCTCTATTTTTCATTTGGAGATTTAGATGCTATGCTTCTAGATTTGACATTCTTTGTCCGGTACATAATTATAAATAAATAAATCCCCCCCCCCATAAAAATATAAGGTCTGACATATACTGGATACTTACTGAGGTCTAGGAATGTTCCTGGAATCCCTCTCAAGAATTCTTAAGATTCCAGTTATATACAATGCTATGTGAACAATATTGTAGAGTTTTTCTTAATCATCAGAAATTTTAAACATCCTCCAAGTAATATGAAGACATTTATGTAAACTATGCAACTTCAACTTTTCTGCTACCATTTAAATGTCACTGTGAAGACATGAAAACATGTCACTCATATGCTAGTTAAATGTAAACATTATGAATAGTCTTAAGTAAAAATTTTAAGTGCTCCAAATATATTAAATGAATATAGAATATATAGTATTTTTTTTTAAGAACATGATTTTAAGCCAGGCTTGTTGGTGCATCCTTGTAATTATAGTCTGAAAAGTCTCACATTGAGTAAAATAATCCTGACATTTATGAGATTGTAAAACATGTTTTTTTGCCTACTTACTCTGTTCTAAAACCCAAACTCCAAATAATGTTTAAACACTTTTAGGGTTCAGGGAGAGGTATATGCATTAGATGAATATTAAGAGTCTTGTTGGCTAGAATCCTGGATTATTTTTTAAATTTTACTAATTATGCTGCAGTGAACAATGAACATAAAAAATTTCACTCTCATTTTCACCTGTTTGTCTTCTTTTTTTTTTTTTTTTAATGGAAACCCATTTTCTTGTTTTACTTTAGTGCATCTTTATCTATGGTTTTACCTTCTGCATTTTCAGTTACCCATGGGTACTCATGATCTGAAAATATATGGAAAATTCCAGAAATATAAAGTTCATATGTTTTAATTTTATGCCATTCTGTAACATGATAAGTTGTTGGACAGTTCTGCCTGAGATACGAATCATCCCTATGTCCACACTGTATACACTACCCATCCACTAGTAGCCATCTTGGTTATCAGATTTGACTGTTGTGGTATTGCAGTACTTACATTCAAAACTCTTATTTAATAATGCTCCAACGTGCAGGAGAAGAGATGTTGACAATTGGGATATTGCCAAAAAGAAGCTGTAAAGTGTTTTCTTTAAATAAAAAGGTGAATGTTCTCAAGTTAATAAGAGAAAAAAAAAATACTGAGTTGCTAAGATCTGCATAAAATATTTATACTCTCAAAGCATTTTGAGAGCAATCACATTCATATAACATTCCAGTATATTGTTATTCTGTATTATTATCATTAATCTCTGCCTGATTTATAACAATGAAACTTTATCATAAGTGTATATGGACAGGAATAAACATACTATACAGGGTTGGGTACTGTCCACAGTTTTAGGGGCCTACTCTATTTTTTAAATGTTGCCATGAAAAATTTGTATCTTAATTATCTGGATATGGCAGAAATGGACCTACTGGTATGACTGGAGTGCTGTCCAATCTTTTGTCTATTGGGAATTTACTGTGTATTGATATTGTTCTTTGTAGTACTAAGATGACAATATATTGTCCGTGCCCTGTGTTAGTGGAATTAAATGACTTAAGATGCAAGCGACTGATTTTTTTTTTTTTGCTATTATGAATTTAAATATTCACATTATGCTTTATACATGAGAACTAGATTTTAGCTTAGAAGGTTATTTTCTTGGGAGATAATAAATAACCAAAACTTTGTAATTAAGGATGACTTATTGCTTTGGATCTACAATGTTTTCTAAAAATACCTGTTTTACGATATTTATGTAAACTTATAATTTTTATGTGCACTAACAGTAAATCAATAGAATATATTCTTGAGGTGGAAGTGTTATATATGTGACAATTTTTTTAAAGGATTTTATAGCAGACAAGTAGTAGGTGATTGTTTAATAAGCTGTGATGAAAATACTAAGTAAATAAGCATGTTGGTTTTCTTGAAATGTAAAATTAAAAGACATACCACTATTCTCCTCTAGGTGGCATGGTCTAGACTGTCACTGAAACAACTGAAAATTCCCCCCCACTATAAACTAGTGGCCAGTTTTTAAACAATTGGTATAATTGTGGTGTTAATCAATTGTTACAACTGGTCAGATAACCAGATTGATGTTAGGACAGTCTCTTCTTTAATGATCTTAATTGACTTAAAATTATAAAACAAATACCTTAAAGAAATAAATATTAAACCCAAATCATTTTTCTATGATGCTGGAGTCATTTGGGGTCACAGTGACACTCCCATTTTTTAATTTATTCCTTTAGTTTGTGTAAATATCATATGCCATTTGCTAGAAACTATAAAGATGCTTTTATACCCAAAAGAACATATAAAGATATAACTGAAATAATCTAAAGAGAAACCACAAATGTTAGGAATCTTGATCTCCCCAAATTTTCATGTTAATAGGAAACAACCTTTTCAATTACAAGATTGACTTTCCAGGCATCTCTGATTTTGTGAAGGCCGTTACTGTTTATTAATGGAAAAAATCATCATGTAAAAAGTTAGTATTATGTTATCCCTCAGCACATACTACTTCTTGTGTTTTGTATTAGAACTAAAATAAAAAGGGGCAAAACACCTTCTACTTGTGAGATTCCTTAGTCTCTTATTTGCTTTCCAAAATTTAAAAATTCATTTCTCAGGATCCACACAGAATACGTGAAACAGCTGTTAATCTGGAATCATCATTTTATTTATCCTCTTCTTCCTTTCTGCATGGCAGATTGGCTTTTATGGGTCTAAAAGTATCTTGACCAAGCACCTATTGGACACTTCATTTTTGTGGTGGTGCAAGTTATATATCAGTGTTAAATTTGTACAAGTAAGCAATTTCAAAGTGTAGCTGTAGTAGAGTTTTAGAATTTGCTGCAGGGGCAAAGCAAAAAGACTTGGAAGTATATAAAATACGGTATCACCATTGTATTAAAAAGGGTGAGAGTCTAACTGGTTTATTCTTACAGGTTCAGATTTTAAAGTGGCTTCATATTATAGTGATTACCTGGGACAGTCTTGTTTTACAAACCCTGTTGTCTTAATGTATCATGCCCACAAGTTCTTGTGTTTGTATTATTGCTCTAGTTATACGGACTTTGTTTCAAACTTTCTTTTATAAGACTTGAAATAATTATCAGCATGTGTGATTAAGAGTGTCAAATTTTACAAAACTTTCCATTTAGCTGTGCTTTTAAATTATTAACAAACTTTTGCTGTTTAGAAATACTTATTTACTAGTTTTTCCTTCTATTATAAAAATTTTATTAAGGTTTTCTTTTCTGTCATCTGGTATTTTTTGCTTTGTTTTCATTTTTAATTTCAGACCAAAGAAGCAGAAAGGCAAAGTTGATTGATACATGGATTTGCTAGTGGAAATTGACACATTTTGGAATTGTGCGTAATCTATGAAGCCCACTGAGATGATGACAAAAAAATTCATCTAACGATCATACATCTTTAAAAAACATTTCTATTTTATATTAGTCATACTCAATTATGAAAATGCATCTTTTTTTCTCTTTCATATACCTTCTCATTTCCTTCCTTTTATTTTTATTTTTACTTTTTTGAAATACTTCTCTCCCCGACCCTGCCCTCCACAACCTAGTTCTGGGTTCTTGCTTTTTAAGTGATCCATGAACTGTGAGGTGGTGGGTTAGTGAGGCAGAAGTAGAGATTATGAAAGGGCATGTGTCAAACACTGCCCTAATCTGAAAGAAATTCTGTTGCTGGCTTCCTTTGTCAACATTAGCATTTATTAAGCATATGTCTATATTCTTATGCTATCTCCCTACTGTCCCCATATGTTTGATTGTTTTTCTCAGTCACTAAATGCTGTTTTAGTGGATGGATTTTACCAGGGGCAGAAATGAAAGGCTGCATTAATTTCAGAATATCCTGGAGATGACATAGGCCAGACTGCTGACTATTCACCTCCTAATGTAAAACTTTCCTCTGGAATTCTCACAGACAACTGAAAATGCAGAGATATGAGTGACTGAAAAGCCACAAGTAGTAATCAATCAGTTAATCTTAATCCTAGAGGGTGAGATGATGTTTCCACAGTGGATCATTGAAGTGTGATGCATTTATCTCTTTAAAGTCTTGCAGCCTACTGGCATGCTCTGCTTTTCCCTCTCCCTGTCTCTTGAATGTATCATTTATCTTTTTACCACCTCTGATCTCTTTAAGCCCTTCTCTTTCCATTTAGCCCTCTGGCTATTGTTGCCTCCTATTTCTTTATCACCTCTCACTTAGATTAACCCATAGATTAAAAAATAGAAATGTACTGGATTACTTTTCATGGGGAAATCACTAACCTTTCAGTTTCGTTATTCTAAGGTAAAAATGACCCAGAAGAATAATTTATTATTCTGTAGATAATAGTTATTATTCCATAAACTTGTTTGTAAAAAAATGTTTGCAGGCATGAAAAAAAATGGATTCCAAACATTGATTTGGGATTTTGGAATCAGATAAAATTACAAGTAAGACTGTAAAAACGTTCAGTGTATTTTTCATATTAAATGATTATTTTGCATTTATCAAGTGTTACTATTTGATGAAAAATGTGATTCATTATGGGGCTGGGGTTATGGCTCAGTGGTAGAGCTCTTGCCTTGCATGTGTGGGGCACCAAGCTCAATCCTCAGTACCACATATATAAATTTAAGAAAAAAGGTATTATGTCCATCTACAACTAAAAAATTTTTTTTAAATATGATTCATTATAGTAGTTTCCTATATTTGTCCTCTGCACCTCCTGGTTTTAATGCCAGAAACTTTTGAGGAAAGCTTTTAAAACTTAGAAATGAAGCTACCCTTTGATGAGAATTAGGACTTATTAGATCAGATGCTCTTGCATGGCCCATAGGGGTGAAACTGCAGGACAGGGGTGAGTTTTGTTCAATCTCTTGTAGGAATTGCACATGACTGAAATGAGTAGACCCATTAATGAACAGAGAAGAGCTACTGGCTGAAGAGCTGCACCCTGTCCTCTGTTCTGGAAACAAACAAAAAAAAAAAAACAAACCCATTTTAGGGCATTAACTAATAAGAGAACTTAATGTTGAATGCTTAACCACACTTTGGTAGTCATTGAGCCTTCTATTTGCCAAGTGTGTTTTCTTGTCCTTTTACAGTAACTAGGTACAAAATACTTTAATGTACATATGATATATATGATAATTAAATAATGATCATGTGCCCAAAGAAACTACTAGGAGGAACAACCATGAAGCAAATTCTTATTGAGTTATTTCCTGGCCTTTTCATTCTATTTATGTTTGCTAAAGAGTGGAGACCAGATGCAAATTCCCTGACAATTGAAGAAGGAATAGGATAAGGTAATTGTAAGTAACCTTTAAAATGAGCACATACTAAGTCCCAGGTATTTTCATAAGTACTTTCTACCTTGTGTAATTTAATCCTCACAGTAATGTTATGTGGTGCATACTCTGTAAATACTCACATTGCTAATAGTGAAGGAGCTAACAGTATCCAAGTAATTGGTCAAAATTACAAAGCCAAAAAGGGACAGAAATTTGAACCCAAGAAATTTTATCTCTGGAGCCTGCCCTTTTGAACACTGTGCTCCTCTGCCTCCTTGAGGTAATCAAGACAGTATATATAGTTTACTCTTTTAGAGTCCCTAGCACACAGAATCATAGAAAATTTAGTGAATGATTTGCTTTTTGAATACAGAAATGAAAAGGCCTTGAGTTATTTAATAGATGAAGGATTCCTTTATGATAACCAGGGAGAAAGCTCTTGCAGTCATGCCTGTTCCACCCTGAATAAACTGCTCACCTAAGAGATAGAAAGGGGGTCTCTTCCTCTCCTACACGGGGGCCACTCTGCCCATTCCCCTCACCAGAAGAATTTACCACTCCCTTTCTGTCTCACCCTCCTGGACTTTGGGGAAATTAAAGCAGCCTCTTATAAATAGGTCACAGGTCTTAGGTCTAAGGGGCATTAAGTAAGCAATATGTGTTCAACAAACTAAGCATTATGAACCAAGTGTGGATGTTTATGTTGGGAAGGGGGTGGTTGTCAGAAGAACTTATGGCTTATGTTGTTTTCCAGAAGTATAGATGGGCTTTTGCTGCTCTACCCACACTCTGATCACAGTCCATGAAAACACAGGTGCATCTGTGTAAATACCACAAAGGTAGTCTCTAAATACAGTGAGAGTGCTCACTGACTTGACGGGAAGCTGAACCCACATCCTCGACGGAATATGCTGACAGCTAACTCAGGAAGCCAACCATATTCCAAAGTGACATCGTACTCAGCAGCTCTTTTGTAGTTCCTGCTGTATGTTCTATAATTGTTCCAGCCATAAGAATCTTCACTTTTTGTCTTCTGTATAGCTTGATTACTGCAGCTCTCAGACTGAAAGGAATGACTTCACTTGAAGTGAAGGAATGGCTTCACTATGAACCTCCATCTTCAAGGGAGTTAAGTTTTCTGCACAATTTTCAGAGTTTTTTAATGTAATAATGAGAATTATGATTCTCTAAAAGGGCAAGAGAGTATCCTATATCTCCCCAACTTTTTGACCATAGAATTCTTGTTTGTCAGAAAGTATTCTGGGATTGGGGTTTCTTAAAAGTACATAATGCATAAGGATGTAGTGGATTCTGATGCAAAATCCGGCTCTACCACTTACTGTGTATTTTTGTTTGTTTTTAAATTTGTTTTGTTTTTTGTTTGGTACTGGGGATTGAATCCAGGAGCAATTTGCCACTGAGCTACATCCCCAACCCTTTTATTATTCATTTTGAGACAGGGCCTTGGTATGTTGCCAAGGCTGGTCTTGAACTTGCTATCTTTCCTGCCTCAACCTCCTGAGTCTCTGGGATTACTGGTGTACATCACGTGCCTGACTTACTGTGATATCAAACAACATATTTAATTTCTCTGTACCTCAGTCTCTTCATCTACAAAATGTGGATAATATTATCCTACATTACTATGTGTGATGTATGTTAGCTGTTATTTTTATTATTCAGTCCTCTACTGATATAGGCCCCATACACATCTAAAGTTAAATCCCAAAAGCTTTAAATCACAAGGAATTTTCTGAAACGTTTGAACTAGGGAATATCTGGACTAGGGAGTAATCTAGAGGTCTTGAATTTGGGGGAAAACTCAACAGAGTTTCCAGTTTAAATCATCTGTCTAGTCAGTATGGCCAGAGTCATGCTAAAATTAAAATGTTGACTCTGAGCAACTAAAGGTAAAATAAAAAGGGAAAATTGAACAGTGGCAAGAATTATGCTTGTATTCATTAATTTGGACAAGGTTGAAGTAGAAAATGTCAAGTTATGAGTAGTGTAAAACAGTAGACATCAAACGCTTAAAATTCCAGTTTCCTGGATATAAACCGTGGAAAGAATGAAGTTGGTTGATAATGTCTAGTCTAGGAAGAAGAGAAAGCCATACAAGAAATGGTCTAGGCAGCAAATTAAGAAGATGATATCCATGCCTTCAAAACAGTGAAACAAACATAACATCCTTTAGGTAAAAAAAAAAAAAGAATCTCTGTTTTCCAACCATCTCACAATCAAACGGAGGATTAGGTTGTAAACAACAATCTAATAATTTTTTAAAAGGCTTCAGAATAACAGCCAGTTATGGAATCCATAAAATTAAGGATAGGTCAAGAATCAGACTGGAAGGCATGTTTTCAGGGCTAGCCTAGCCTTCAGTGCACTGTTGCTTCCGTGTGTGTGTGTGTGTGTGTGTGTGTACACGCGTGCACAGAATACAGAAGAGAAAATTCCAGAGCCAGCTATTCAATCTAGGAGGCTGCGAATGAACCACACTAAGTAAAAACGGAATGCTTGATAGACGTCCTTCAATAGACACAGCCAAAATGCCTATAGACAGTAAATAACCGTAAATCACTGTTGTCAAGGCGCACGCTCCACTCTCTCCCTCCCTTCCCAACAACCGTCCTCATTTCCACACCCCCCTCACAGTTCGGGAGAGCTCGTGGTCTAAGTAACGAGAGGACTTCTGACTGTAATCCTAGCACGTCACTTTGTTGAAGGCAAACACGTGGTTCGGAGAGAACTTATAAATCTCTCCTCCCGGCAAGATCGTGATGTTATCTGCTGGCAGCAGAAGGTTCGCCCCGAGCGGAGCTCCAGAAGCTCCCGACCAGAGAGAGAGAGCCAGGGAGCAGAGCAAGGGCTCAAATGAAAGAAGCATGAGAGAGGGATGGAGAACATTAGTATAACGGTCTAGGGAGCCATTCTGGGATAAAGTGAGGTGCTGGCCGGCTGAAGAAAGGAGGAAAAAGAAAGAAAGTGTATTTCAGGGCGGCAAGTGCCTATCTAACCTTAGACAGAAAGTCCAAGCGGGATAGAAGCCAGGAGCAGTTGGGGAAGGGTGGGAGTCCCAGGGAACCCCTACGCAACTCCCTTAGGAATAAAGCTCCGCAGCCAGAGCGTCCCTGGGGCTGCTGTTGCAGTCCGTAGCGGGTGAAAGCGACCGGGGCGGTTGATCGTCAGTTGCCGGGTTGGCCTTTGGAGCGAGAGGAGAAGGAGGAGCAGAAGGAGGGAGCTGGAGGCTGGACGCGTTTGCAGGCGGCGGCGGCGGCGCGGCAGCAGCAGCAGCAACGTGGAGTAACCGAGCGGGTCGGCGCGCGAGGGCCCGGGTGTAGGCCACAGCGCGCCGCTCCGGGAGCACTAATTTGCGGCCTCGGCAGCCTCTGCTGGCCCTGCGGCACCGGAGCGAGTCCCCAACGCGCGGTGCGAAGCGCATCTGCGTCCCCGCGGCGCTCCAGGCTCGCCCGCAGCGCGTGCACGCACACGCACACGCGCCCGCGCGGACACACACACACACACACACACACACACACGTGCGCTCCTCTGCTCCGGAGCTGCTGCTGCTCTTGCTCTCAGCGCCGCAGTGGAAGGCACGGCCGAATCTCTCCTTCTTTAAATATATTAATTACAGCCCGGGTCAGCATCGGCGGCCCGCTCACAACGCTCCCGACGCCCCTCCCGTCAGTTCGCCAGCTGCCAGCCCCGGGACCTTTTCATCTCTTCCCTTTTGGCTGGAGGAGCCGAGTTCAGATCCGCCACTCGGCACCCGAGACTGACACACTGAACTCCATTTCCTCCTCTTAAATTTATTTCTGCTTAATAGCCACTCGACTCTTTTTTTCCCCCCTCATCTCGTCGCTCCAAGAAAACTTTTTCTTACTCCGTAAAGTCAGGGTTCCATTGCCCATCCCATATTAATATTTCCACTTTGGGAACAACTTGCATTTTCTTTTTTTAAAGGAATTCAGGCAAGATACATTTTTTCTACTCAGCATTGACTCGATTGTTTGCAAAAGTTTCGTATTAAAAACAAACAAACAATTCTACCCAATCTATGCTTTGAGAATTATTGGCTTCTATTTCTTTTTTTTTTTCCCTTCTTTTTTTAACCTAAAAACAGAACAAAACACTTTTTTCCACCTTTTTTTTTTTTTACAAAAAAAAAAAATGCACTACTGTCTGCTGAGCGCTTTTCTGATCCTGCATCTGGTCACGGTCGCGCTCAGCCTGTCTACCTGCAGCACACTCGATATGGACCAGTTCATGCGCAAGAGGATCGAGGCGATCCGCGGGCAGATCCTGAGCAAGCTGAAGCTCACCAGCCCTCCTGAAGACTACCCTGAGCCGGAGGAGGTCCCCCCGGAGGTGATTTCCATCTACAACAGCACTAGGGACTTGCTCCAGGAGAAAGCGAGCCGAAGGGCGGCCGCCTGCGAGCGCGAGAGAAGCGACGAGGAGTACTACGCCAAGGAGGTTTACAAAATAGACATGCCGTCCTTCTTCCCCTCCGAAAGTAAGTACTGTTTTTCGCTTCCCCAAGGCTTAACGCTGGCCCGGAGCTCTCAGAACCGCAGCAGCTCTGGGAATCGCCCTTCCCTCTCTGGGTCCGGGTTGCTCTTTTCCGGTTCTGTCCTTCGTCCCATTCACCTCCCATCCAGTCGTGTGCTGGAGACCCTCAGGCTTTAAAACGTTCACTGTCTGCCGTGTTTTTTCTCCACCTCTCCCTTCCCCCAACGCCTCGGTCCTTTTTAAGGAGTTATTCTCCTTTGCTCTTCCCTGACATCCTCAACTCGGCCACCAGTTAGGAAGCAACCTTCTTCTGTCAAACTGTTGGCGTTCCCCAGAGCAGGAGTTAAATTCAGAGAATCTTAGTAGCTTGTTTTCTTTGCCCCATTGGCGTGGGGCGCGCCAAACTGGAGCACGAAGGGTTAAAAAAGTGGCTCCAAACTAGCCTCTCCGGAAGGCGCCCCCTTTCCGAGCCGACCTATCAGCTGGTTCCCTGGAGCCACCTCTATTGTCTCTCACTCCCCTAAAAATGTCAGCATCGCCAAAACAAAACCCGATTTGGAGACTCCTCGAAAAACCCTTCAGTACTTGAGGTATCAAGCGCTAGGTGTTTACTTTCCCCCTAGGCAAACCCTTGTAATCACGTCCCCTTTTGACTTCACCTGGAGTCTTAGAAAGAACAACTTCGTTTCTGACGTTTTTTAAGAAGGTTTTACTTCACTTTGTTTTTTCAGAAGTCACCAAACGTGCTTTCTTAAAATCGCTGGGTAGCAGGTCATTTTTCTTAGGGGTCTATCCTTGATCATTTTAAACCTTGAGCTCTGTACTCCTGCCCTTTCATAAGTTTTCTGCAGTGCCTTTGGTGCATTCCTAAATCAAAGAAAAGACAGCTAATTTTAAAATAATAATAATGTTTATTATTATTATTAGGCTTCCCTGAAAGCAGTGTCCTCAAAACTGGCTGGCACACAGTAGCACTGAGAGTGAAATGATTTATTGTGGAGTTCTTTGGGGAGGAGAGTAGTATGGAATTATCTCAGATTTCTTTAAAGAAAGAGCAACAGCAGCAGCAGCAGCAGCAGCCAGTGATACCTGAAAGGGTTAAATACCAGGAAGAACTAGAAGAAAAAAGTGAAATACACTTCAGCATTTGAGTATTCCAAATCCTAAGTCATAAACTTTTCATTGGTTGCCCATTTCTCTCCTCCCCTTTCCATGCCCTATATACTTGCTGGCTGCCTTTGGGAAGTCTCCGGGTCTTGCCTAAATAGATAATACAGCCATCTTGGTAATTTTATCACCGAAATTCTAATTATTGGGTGGTGCTTTTCTTTTTTAATATTTATTTTTATTTTGACAAGTCTCAGCGATGTGACTTGCCATGTCTTGTATTAATGGCTTTGGAATGTCTGCCCATATGTCTAACCCCAGTCTTTCTGGACACCTTTCTTTTGCTGCAGTTGTCTTCTCTTGTTATTCAATGGCAGAAAGAGATACAGGGAATCCTGGCAAGCAGGATAATTTTATTATCCTAATTATGGCACTGTCCACAACATCAATGACAAAATACACTCCACCCTGGTTATTCCCCTTGGGAAGCAAAACTCTCTATCTGGGATGGAGCCAAGGAGATATTAGGAAAGAAAGTTCATTGTGCTTAGTCCAAAACTATTGAGACTGAACAAAGAGTTGAGTCAGTTTGCTCTCTCTAGCACATGCACTAGTTCTACTGGTATTTGGAGAGACAAGCAAATGTTATGTGGGACCTAGATAACTCATCCTTCAGTGTGTACATGCAAAAGCTCAAATGAACTGCCATGTGTTACAACACTGAGAGGTCTGATCTCACCATTCTATGGATGTGGAAAGAGCAAGTTATCTGAGAAGGCTTTCATTCTGAGTTCTCTCAAGCATTCTTAAGTCTGAGAGATGAAGATGAGCTGAGACAGTCCAATCCAGGATCATGGTCATCAACAGATTGGAAAAATTCCTGGATTATTAGGAGGATTTCAGAATATGGCATCCAAGACCAGTGTGTGGGTTCTCCTTTCCATTCTGCCCTCAGCTTCCAGACAAATTAAAACCTCTGATGAGATCAGGATAAAAAATAGACTATCGGTGTTCAATAAACAAATACAGGCTGTAAGAAGCCTGTGGACTGTATGGAAGTTTAGGAGCAGAAAACCATATTAATAGCAGAGTTGATACTACTGTGCAAGAACTGTGGATCATTTTATAGAAAGTAGGTTAACTGATTTTCCAGCACTTTCTAGTTATTCTGGAATACAGTGAACTCTTCCAAAAAAAAAAAAAAAAAAAGGAAGAAAAGAAAAAATTACTCCACCATATTTTTTAAAAGCAAGTTAAAAGTACAGCGTTGGCTTTTATACCAACTTTCCTTCTTGAAGACTTTTCTGCCTAGCTTTTAACTCGCCCGTCACTGAATTGCTGCAGGGAGGGTGTGCGCCTGTCATTTCTTGCAGTGGATCCGGTGAGGGTCACAAGTCTCAGAGATGAAGGCATGGGAAAGATCACTGGTTCATTTTTTTACCACCGACTTATTAGTGTTCAGGGAGTGACTTCAGCTCAAGTATTACAAATATGCTCTAATTATACTCAATGAGCTATATATCACTACAGATTGCTGATAGCCCTTTGTGGGACATTTTATGAAGTTCAGACTAAATATTTTTAGCAATGTGGAGATTTAAAAGTAAAAATATAAGAGATATTGTATATGCCCTCAGGCATATTTTGTCTTAAATATTATCCTTGGCTAAGTGTACTATATAAATACAGTAAATATGAATAGAACTGGTCAGGTGCCAAGCTCCTAGTATGAATTTTAGTCAAGAATGTATTTATGGGATATAAATAATACTGTGTCAACATTTAAAGAAGGGGTCTGATTAGTTTTGAATTTATTCATATTGATCTTTTCACATGCTGTTAGTTTAAGACTCAAAGTGGAGTTAGGCTAAGGTTTACCGATGGTTTGCCCAGTGGGAATTAAGTGAACTTTGAATAGTTTGACAATCCATTTGAAGTCCATTCAAAAGACACTGCACAAGGTTTTAAATTTAGAGAGTGACTGTTGAATCAAAGTAGCATCTGTAGAGGCTTGGACATTCAGAAAGAATAAAAGAAAGGACGAGACAGGTTTTCAGTTTCTTTCTCTCCTATTTTCATTGTAACAAATCAGGTAATGTTCCAACTACAGAAACCCTTACCTTCCCACCCCCACCATCTCTGCAGGGACAGTTGGCAATGTCTGAAGACATTTTTTGGTTGTCATGACTAGGGGTGGAGTAGTACTCCTGGTATTCATTGGGTAGAAGCCAAGGATGTTTCTAACCTTCCTATAAAGCACAGGACTGCTCCCCCTTCCTCCATATATCAAGAATTATCTGGCCCCAAATTTCAGTATTGCCCATGGTTAGGAGCTCTGGAACCCTGGTATTTATCTTGGCCTACTGAATTCTGTTAGTAGTACCATTTTAGAAGTAATAACAAAAGTAAAAGATCTTTGTGACCAAATAATATTAAAATGAAAGCATTGAATATGACAATCAGAAAGTTATCTAATTAAATAGAATATTAATTAGACCATTTTGTATGGTGTATACTTGAATATTGTGATCTTAACATCACCTACATTTGGGACATCGACCTTTTCCTTTTATTTAGTTAAGAAATGGAGTTGACCCTTCCATGAGCTGCCTCACTCAGCAACAGTATGATGTTAGTCAGAACACAGCAAAAAAAGAAATGAGGAATTACCTTGGATTTTCCTTTCAAGTAAAATAAGCTGTTTTGTGTTAATGAAGAGTGGAATCGCCAAACTAGGGAACTGGAGAAAATAATCATTTTTGTTTATTCTATCATACTAATTTAGATAAACTAAAATATTCAGCTTAAAAAAAATCACAATGAGGTTACCTTTGTAATTGTTTCACACAAATGCTAAACATTTAATACTAAGCAATCTGCTTTATTATTTTCCTGTAATTTTCCTAGTGAAATTTTGGAATATAAAATGAATACCAATGACACTGGTTTGGGGGAATATGACTTAGTTTTGTCTTCATGAATATGTCTCTCTATATACAAATGGCTGGTCTGTTGGCCAATTGCCCAATGAAGGAAAATGTTAGCAATTTCTGGAATACAGTAGCATATTTGGTTTATGTAGTATTTTTGTTTTATTTTTTTTAAGGTTTTCTCATTGTGTTTGTATGTAGGGGTGAGAGAGATAGAGAGAGAGAGAGAGAGAGAGAGAGAGAGAGAGAGAGAGAGAGAGATGAGATCAAAGAACAGACATGAACTCTTTGACTTCCAGAAAGATTTATTTATGTGCAACAGACCAAACTTTAATTCCTTCTCTCTTATTGCATCATTGCTTGTACTAACTCTGGTACCTAATTGTGGTTACATTTAAGTTAGGCCACATTCTCCTCTTTCAGGATTTCCTCTTTTTTACTTTTCAGACTAGAAAAAAAAAAAGTCCTCAGTTTTTAACTGAAACAGTTAGATAGTCTTTGTTGCCAACGTAGGCCAGCCGGCCTTATGCTTCTCCTGAGGAGACCCTGCTGGATAGAGGCTGTCTTCAGAGAAGCTTGAGGGGTGTCCCAGGACCACTTATCTCTTAGAAGGAACCCTGGGGTCCTCTCTGTCTCCACAGCGACCCCTGTGGACTACCTAAGGAGCTGCACTTTTTGAATTACAGTTTCTCCCTGGTGAAAAGACGATGATGTAACCTAGTCACAGCATCTTCCATATAAAGATATGAAAGAATGACAGATCATTTTTCCTAGAGGAAATGGGAATATGAGAAAAAGGCTAATGACTCACTGTTGAACCCACATCAAATCTGGGTTAGAACTGAGGAGTTCATTGACTCCTAGGCCTTTGCCCAGAGATTACAACACACTTCAGGCTGCAATTTTAGAAGGTTCCGGAAGATAGAGTGGAGGAGCCTACCTCTGGGAGAGGTGTGCAGGTCACCAC